CATGTTTAAAAATTTGTGTGTATGTCAAAAACATAAATTTTAAAATACGTTTTAAAGTTGGTTGTCCACCTGACGAATACTTGTTTATGCTGGGAAGTAGCCTTCTAAGTGAGGTTCAAGACACACTTCTAGACGAGTGGCGGATTCTATATATTCGGGTGACCGAGTAGCCTTCGTGGACCCTCGAGAATAAATATAGCTGAGCCTAGTCCCATACGAGTGCTTGCGGTCCCCCCTCATCTGAATCTCTTTTCTTTGTTTTATCGAAGCTTTGGGACAGAGCACTCGTGTTACTTTTTCTTTCTTTCGGGATTTCCCCGAGAGTTTTGAGGATTTTCTTTTACTTGAGTCTTTTTCGTTGATTTTCTCGAGTTTCTCCGCTTTTCCTCGGGTTTCCTGGACGACGTTTTTTTCGGAATTTGCTTTTTGAGATGCATTTAGGTTTGCTATACATAAGGAAATACATAGGGAACAGCGGATCTCACGGGCGTACAGGTTTGCTTTATATTTTACAGCAATTATTTTTTTTGTTTCTACCTGCTACTGCTCTTCTTATACAACATGTTATACTATTTATGTTTATACCTGCTACTGCTCTTCTTTATACAGCATGTTATACCATTTCTGTTTCTACCTGCTACCGTACCGTACAACATGTTATATTATTCTTGTTTCTGCTTGCTATTGTCCTTCTCGTATAGCATGTTATACTGCTCATGTTTTGTCTACTACTGTTCCACGTGCATTTTATTGTTTGTTCTTGCATCGCACACTTTACATTATATAACTTCAAGCATGTTTCCTTTTTGCATAGGATGTTTAGAGGACTACAATCATAGGGCCGTTTGATTTAACACTAACAAACCATAGGATTTTGAGGTTGTCTGCCTAGCGCAACATAAATCCTCCACATTTTCTTTAGGCATTCGTACAGCTCTATTGTACGATTTAAGACCTAATTCGTTCTAGGTTCCGAGGTTGTCGTCCGGTACGACGTAAACCCTCATATCTTCTAAGCAATTTGTGTGAC